ACCGGGATGACGACCGGGATGAGAAGACCATCCAGAGCTTGCGGGTAAGAGAGGGTTACAAGGTGGACCCTAGACCTCTGGCTCAGCAAACTCCCAGCTTTAGGAGAGCAGTGATGGTGTCAGTCCTTCACCTTAGCACATTGGCACCCAGCAGAGAGCCTGGCATATAGCAGGTACCCAGTATTTCATATTGACAACTATAGGGAAGGAGCATCTAGAAAGATTACAGTCTTTTTTTCCATTTAATTGTTTTAAAAATAAGATAGTAACAATTATCTCTCATTGTGGTCATCAAAAGTTAACCACCTGCCCACTGTGTAACTGACCTGGGGAAGGTCACCATGGTCAAGACAGCAGACCTCAAAGTTGTGCTGGGGAAATTCTACCGGGATGATGACCGGGATGAGAAGACCATCCAGAGCTTGCGGGTAAGAGAGGGTTACAAGGTGGACCCCGGACCTCTGGCTTAGCAAACTCCCAGCTTTAGGAGAGCAGTGATGGTGTCAGTCCTTCACCTTAGCACATTGGCACTCAGCAGAGAGCCTGGCATGTAGCAGGTACCCAGTATTTCATATTGACAACTATAGGGAGGGAGCATCTAGAAAGATTACAAAGTCTTTTTTTCCATATAATTGTCTTAAAAATAAGATAGTAACAAATATCTCTCATTGTGGTCATCAAAAGTTAACCACCTGTTATGTTTAGGGCACTGTACTGGGTAGGATTTGAGGACATAGAGAGGTTTTATCCAAGATATTCAGAATCAATTTATAATATTCTTCTCTGTTTCCCTGCCTGCCTCCTTTCTCTATCTCCTTTAGCTACCATCCATCCATCCATCCATCCACCCACCCATCCATCTGTTCAGCTATCCATCTGTCCATTTGTTCAAACATTCACCTATCCATCCATCTATCCATCCATCCATCCATCCATAGTTTTTGCCCTAAAGAGTCCACAGGTTAGTAGTGTAGAGACAGACTAGTGTATCATGATTAGTTCGATTCAAGAGAAGCCCCGAGGAAATTAACCCAAATGTAGGTGGAATAATAGAAAAAATACATAAAATGGTAGAAGGCATCACAGATGTAAGTTCCTAGAGGCCCCCATCAACGAGTGATCAGCAAGCATTGGGCCAGTCAGGGAAGACTTGTGGAAAAGTCTGTGGAACATTCTATTTTATTGGGTTGAAGATAAATGAAATGTTTACAGTGGATCAGGGATTGCCAACTGGTAGCCTGTAGGGGTTTGTGTTTCAATCGTGCTAACGTATCATTTTTAAATCAGTTGTTCGCCAACATTTAAAAATCAGGTTTCAGATGAAGATCTGGCATCTAGTGTCTGGCAGAGTTAGAATGCTGGCCCCATTACTGCATGGCAGTGGTCAGCCGGCGCCAGGTGGCAGTTGCCCACTCTAGATGGAGTGTGTGCTCTCATCGCCTGCAGCCTCACCTTTCCACTCCACTTATTTAAAGTATCTGCCAGGCCCAGTAGGCATTTCAGTTTGTAACCCTAGAAACAGAGCAATTGCTTTCTATGATCCTTTGGGCAAAGTATCTCCAAATAATTGCAATTGTCTCTTAGACATTTATTCCCGATAATTCAGCCTCAAGGCTTTCCTGCTCTTGTCCACTGAGGAGTGGATGGCTCACCATTGCTGTCCATTCCTTTCACATGTAGATTTCTGCAATCATTCTGCACCCCAACTACGACCCCATCCTGCTGGACGCTGACATCGCCGTCCTGAAGCTCCTGGACAAGGCTCGCATCAGCACCCGCGTCCAGCCCATCTGCCTCGCGGCCACCCGGGACCTCAGCACCGCCTTCCAGGAGGCCCACATCACCGTGGCCGGCTGGAACGTCCTGGCAGACGTGAGGAGCCCCGGCTACAAGAACGACATGCTACGCTCGGGGGTGTTCAGGGTGGTGGACTCGCTGATGTGTGAGGAGCAGCACGAAGAGCACGGCATCCCAGTGAGTGTCACGGACAACATGTTCTGTGCCAGCCGGGACCCCGCCGCCCCTTCCGACATCTGCACGGCAGAGACGGGGGGCATCGCGGCTGTGTCCTTCCCGGGACAGGCGTCCCCTGAGCCGCGCTGGCATCTGGTGGGGCTGGTCAGCTGGAGCTACGACAAAACGTGCAGCCACAGCCTCTACACGGCCTTCAGCAAGGTGCTGCCCTTTAAGGACTGGATCGAGAGAAACATGAAGTGAGCTCAGGCCCACTGAGAGCGTGTCTGTGCCTCCGTGCATGCGTGCGTGTGTTGCATGAGGCAGAGTGGGCCTGAGGTGGGATTCTGCCCTTGAATTTGGCAGAGCCAGGGCTTCTGATTTCAAGCACAGAGCTTGTGGAGGGTGAGGAGAGCTCATGGAGGGTGAGGAGAGCTCGTGGAGGGTGAATAGGCCTCTGCCTCCCTGGCTGCTCTGACCATTTGGAAGACATCTGCTTGTAAGAACTGGGTTGCTTCAAAAAAGACTATGTGACCAGCAAAGAAAACATCCCCATTCAAATGACCTGGTGGCCTTCCTCACCTGCCCTCCCATCGTGCAAATGTCATGGCCAGCCCTGGTGGAGAAGGGTTGACCGGGAGGCCTGGGTTTCATGAGGTCTCTTCCAAGGCTCCATCCATCCAGACCAAGCTCCAAGGAGCCGCCTAAGGGACAGCCCAGGACAGCGGAGCCTGGATGAGATGCTGACGGTGGCTTTTGTGCACATGGCCACAGTACCGTGTGGTCCTGTTCCTTCCGCATCTCCTGTACACATTTGAATAAAATAAGGGTTGGCTTCTGACCTACAGGACAAGTGTGCTACGGCTGATTTCTGCATGCTACTGCTCTGAGCTGCATGTGTGGGGGCCGATGGCTGGGTGACAGCCCTTTAAAATAGATCCTAAAGGTATAATTTCCCAAAATGCATATGGCACAGCTGATGCCATCTTTTGAATTCCAGCCCTTGGAGTTTGCTGGGTCGTGGGCTGGGGGAGGAGAGACATGGGTGCCATCAAATAAGGCACAGAGGAAAATACCAGGAATTAGGTGATGTTTAGTGTTTCTTCTGGTTCTCATGTTCTAGCTCTAGCATAGAACCCTGCGTCGAACCTCCATAAATCTTTATGACAGAGTTTCATAGAATCTGAACTGGAATCACCTGTTTACTCCACTAGATGGAGATTTGCCAAGAGACTGTAGCCTCCTTGTTTTCTATAACTTCTGTGATTTTCCTTTCAAGCCCCACTGGAGAGTAGAGATAACAAATGAACTCAAGCTAATCCAATCCCTGAACGATCTCTTCAGTAACATTCTCTTTCCGTCCTGCTCTCTTTACCAGTGTCTTCCTCTCCAAGACGGTGCATGGGGCTTCCATGACTTTAAACACTGGGATGAACAGGGATGAGTTCCTGCTGGTTCTTGGGTGTGTGTGATGAGTCTTCCCCATTCCTGGGCATTTTGCTGACATTGACATTGGGTGTGGGGGTCTGTAACCACTGTAACCACTGTGTGCTGTGTTCTCTCTGCTTCCCTGAGGCCCAGCCTGCCGACTTGGCTCCTCCTCAGCTCTGGCTGGCACTGGTTCTCCTGACATGTGGGGGTGATGGCTCTTTGACCCTGGTTTGCTCACTCAGCCTCATGGCCACAATGATGACCTTCTCTGGCAGCTACCCAACCAGACTCTCAGTGACCTCCTCTTCCTCCCTCAGGGTCTCTGGGAACTTCTTGGGGTTTTTCCTATACCTCCTGAGTGCTCAGAGACCAGGGTCAGTTCAGGGTACCCGGGGGGACATTCACTCCCATAGACCAAACAGGAGCCTGATTCTTCCTTGATATATCAGAGAACTATGACCTCACAAACTTAGTCCCAAGACTGGAGGTCAGGACACATTTGTCTCCAAATCTGTGTCTTTATATAATTCCCTGAGCCAGAGGAGAATTTCTGGTACTTTCTCTTTTTGTCAGGCTTTCTGTAAGTCACATTCTACTCCTTTTACTCCCCCCCCCCCGCCCCCCACATCCTTATGGCTTAACCCAACAATTCTCAACCTTTTCCATCTCATAGCACACATTAACTAAAATTCTGCGGCACACTAAAAATATATAATACTTTTTGCCGATCCGACAAAAAATAGGTATAATTTTAATTAATTCACACTGAATGGCTATTGTATTAGCTGTTGTCTTTCTTCTTATTCTTTTTTTCTTTTAACAATCTAAGGGAAAAGAGGTCAGTGCCCCTGACTAAGTAGTCAGGTACATATTGCAGGATTTAAAAATTCTTGCGGCACACGGGTTGAAAATCGCTGGCTTAATCTAACAGAAGTGTATGATCAGTTTCTGAGTAACAAACATCCAATGCTTAGTGGGCTAAAACAAGACATGTTTAGTCCCTCTCTATTTCAGTGAGTTAGGAATTGAGGAGCTGAGGTTGACATAAGGGTGCAGTCATCTTAGGCCTTAACTGAGGCTGGAGCATTCGCTTCTACAAATACTTTATCAGGTTGCTCAAAATTTTTTTTCATTTTGCTTTTTTTTAAACCTAGGAAGCTCGGATCTTGAGAGGTGCAATGGAAGTCTGACCAAAGAGATCTAAATCCAAATTCCTGTCTTTCAGCTTCTTTTCTAAGTGATCTTGGGCAAGTCACCTAACCTCTCTAGCTCAGCTTCACCATATGTTAGATGGGCATGATAAAATCTGTCTTGTGTGGTAGCTGTGATGATTTAGTGAGATATTGTATAAAGCACTGAACATAGTACATGGCATATAGTTGGTGCCTAGATTACCTCGCAGGGCAGGGCTGTCCATCTGGGCACAGCGCCATCACGCCACCACATCTGCATCTGTGGGCACATCTCACACGGGTACCAAGCTCATACTCTCCGTTCTCCAACCCTCTCCTGACCCCTCCCCTGGATCACACGTCCCCTACTTTCTTGACATCCTCTTTACTATTTAGTGCCATTTTCCATCTTTGCCTCACCACTCAGATTTGGTTCACATTCAAGTCATCTCAGAAATCAATGACTCTGATCTCCTCCGGAGCAGGATCTGGTTGTCTTTGGCTGGAAGACGTTGAAAAAAAAACACATGTGTGTATAAGTATTGCCTAAATTTTACTT